GGTTTCCCCCCCCCCCCAAAGCTGCCGAAGGGGCTCAGAGGGAGCAGACCCCGCTCTTCCCCCCCTCTCAATTTACCCCCTCAACACAAACCACCGTTCAACCTCCCGGGCAGCTCAGCCAAAAAACGCTCCAAATATGTCCAGGGATTTTTTCCTGCATCCCAGTTGTGCTATCAGTAAACACCCAGCTCGGCTTTTTGCTCCTGTTTTTCTGGAAATCCATGTTTGTTGTGTTTTTTTCCCTCCCCCTCCTGGTTTGTGCCCTTAGATGGGCTGAGGATGTCCCTGGCAGTGCCTCAGGGTGACCTCCCGGGCACTGGGAACACTCTGTGCTGCCCCCTGGTCACGTCAGGAGAACATGGACAACATGGAAAACATGGAAAACAAGGGCCCTGCCACCCAGAAACCCCACTGTGGCCGGGGGCTTCTCCTCACACAGCTTTTCTGGGAGCAGCTCAAAGCCCGGGGGGTTGTCCCCTCACTCTGTTCCCACACAAATCCCTCAGGGATTTGCCACGGGATCGTTCCTGCTTTTCTCCTGCCCCCAGAGGGTTGTTCTGTCACCTCTGGGGGGTCCCAGCTCCCATCCCTGCTGTTCCTCCCTGTCCTTAGGGGCTGGGATGTTCCCAGAAAGGCCCAGACAGGCACGGCTCTCACTGCTGGGCAGCACAAGGTGACAGATCTGAGGGATCTCTGGGATGTCACGGGATCAGGAGGTTGGAAAAGCCCCCCGAGGTCACCGAGCCTCCCCCTTGTCCTGTCCCTGTTCCCTGGGAATGTCCCCTCCTACCCTGCAGTCCCAGAGGGATCTGTGGGGCTGCACAGAGCCCCTTGGAGGACCAGAGAGGAACAACTCGACCCCTCAAGCTCCTTCCCAAAGCTGTGCTGGGTTTGGATGTCCTGGATATGATCCAGGGGGATCCACTCCATCCCCTCTGTGTTGGGGGAAGGAGCCAAAGCTTTGTCCACTCCCCTGGAGAGAGCCCTGGAGGGATGTCCCGGCTGGATAAACTTGGAGCAGCCTGGGATAGGGGAAGGTGTCCCTGCTCAGGGCAGGGGGAGGGATGGGATGGGATGGGATGGGATGGGATGGGATGGGATGGGATGGGATGGGATGGGATGGGATGGGATTTGAGGTGCCTCCCACCCAACCAGCCTGGGATTCCAGGATCCTGGAGCCCCTCTGCTCTGGAACCAGGCTGGGAGAGCTGGGAATGTTCCCCTGGAGAACAAAAAGCTCCAGGGACACCGTGGAGCCCCTTCCAGGGCCTGAAGGGGCTCCAGGAGAGCTGGAGAGGGACTGGGGACAAGGGATGGAGGGACAGGACACAGGGAATGGCTTTCCAGGGATAGGTGGGATGTTGGGAATGAATTCCTGGCTGGGAGGGTGCGGAGGGGCTGGAATGGATTTTCCATCCCTGGGATTGTCCAAGGCCAGGTTGGAGCAGCCTGGGATGGTGGGAGACGTCCCTGCCCAGGGCATGGGATGAGCTCTGAGGTCCCTCCAACCCATTCCAGGATTCTTTGGGCTGTTCCTCACAGGTCCATTCCAACCTCAGCAATTCCCTGGTGAGGGAAAAGAGCCCAGCACGTGGCTATGGAAGGAAAGGGCTGGGATATGCTGGATACTCTTGGAAGGCAGCAGGAACAGTCCAGGTACGTGGACAGGACGGGCTGAGCACAAACCCCAGCGAGTGGAAGGAAGGCAGGACTTTTCCCGTGGCATTCCCAAGGAGTTTGAAATCCTCCTCCATGGCAGCAGGACCCCCTGTGGATCCAGCATCCTTCAGAAAGGCTGGATTTGGATTAAAGAACCCCCTGAGGCCACTGGTGTTCCCTCTGCAGCCAAACCAGGCCAGGAGGAACCTGCCCAGCCTACGGAGCTTGGGGACACTGTGACATTCCCAGCAGGGATAAAGGTCCCTGGATCTGGAGCAGGAAGGGGTGTTCCTGCAGAGGAGGGAGTGGGATATCCAAGAGGAAGGGGAAGTGCTGGAAGATCCCTGAGCCAGCTGAGCCCTTCCCAAGGGAAGGAGGTTCATCCTTCAGGACATGGAAATACAGGGACCATCCACACTGGGAACAACTTCCCTTCCACAACGCTCTCCAGGGGGATTTTGGGATGTCTCAGTGATCCCCCTGGGCCCCTTTCCACTCAGCAGATTCCATCATTCCCTGAGGTGAGGGAAGGAGGCTCCATCCATTCCCAGGGAAGGTGGCAGTGCTGGAGCAGGGAGATCCCTGTGGGGATTCTGTGGAATTCTTGGAGGAGAAAAAACCTCCTGCAGTGGATTTGGCAACTTCCAATGATCTAAAGATCATCTTGGGGGGACATTAAAGATCATTCCCTTAAAACCCATCCTGGAAGGGACCTAAAGCCATTCCCTGAGTCCTGTCCCTCCATCCCTTGTCCCCAGTCCCTCTCCAGCTCTCCTGGAGCCCCTTCAGGCCCTGGAAGGGGCTCCACGGTGTCCCTGGAGCCTTCCCTTCTCCAGGGGAACATTCCCAGCTCTCCCAGCCTGGCTCCAGAGCAGAGGGGCTCCAGAATCCTGGAATTCCAGGCCAGTTTGGGTGGGAAGGACCTTAAAACTCACCCAGTCCCACCTTTATGGGCAGGGACACCTCCCACCATCCCAGGTTGCTCCAACATGGTCTTGGACACTTACAGGGATGGGGCATCCCCTGGGAATTCCATACCAGCCCCTCCTCACCCTCCCAGGGAAGAATCCCTTCCCAATATCCCACCTATCCCTCCCTCTGGCACTTTAATGCCACCATTTCCCCTTCCCAGAGTGTTCCCAACCCCGATTTCCCTCTCTTAATGCCTTTGCCTGAGGGGGGGTGTCATTTGGGAGGGTCTCTGGGTAATTGGGGGGTTCTCTGGGTCATTTGGGGGGGGTCTCGGGGTGTCCTGGGGGTCTCTGGGTCATTTGAGGGGTGTTTGGGGGGGGCGGTTTGGAGGTCCCAGCCCCAGCGCTGGGGAAATTCCCCTCCCGGGGCTGGATTTGGGGATTATTCCCGCGGGATCCGGCAGTTCCCGGGGCTGATCCTGGCTCCCGGCAGTGCCAGGGCTGGGATTTTGGCCTGAACTCAGGGAAAAGCTTTCCCAAGGCGCCTTTCCCACCTCCTGGGTGTCCCTCCCGCCCCTTCCCACAGCCCGAATCCCCTCCCACGGCGGCGCTCCCGGGAATCTTCCTGGTCCCAACAGGCAATTTCCTCTCTTTTCCCAAAAAAACCCACCCCAGCTTTCCTCCTGATCACGGGCACTTCCCTTTGCCACTTCCCAGTGAAACAGGAGTTCCTCATCCCAAAAAAGCAGCTTTTCCAGCTGTGCCTCGTCCTGGGAACGTCCCGGGAAGGGGCTGGGGGAGCTGCTCAGCCCCTTCTCAGAGCTCCTCCCGCGGCTGGAATTGTCATTCCCGATGTTTCGCCAGGAGAGGGGTCGCTCTGAGGAGAGGAGCCTCCTCCATGAACCCCCGAAATTGCCGGGAAGAGCCGTTCCCAAGTGCTCCCGGAGCGGTTCGGGCTCAGCCGACCCGCTGGGTGGCCCGGGATAGATCTGGAATCAAAGTGGGGGAGGATCCACAAAATCCTTGGATCCGCTCGTGCTGAGGGACTGGCACGGAGCTCTCCAGCTGCCCAGGGCAGGGAAGGAGAGAAACGAGCCCCAATCCAAATTCAGGGATGGATCTGAAGTGAACAATTAACCGGGAAACAAACGCTTTGGGGCCAAACCCGCTCCTGGATTCCCACAGGTTTTTATCCCACCACAACCAGGGGCTGCCCGAGCTTTTGCAGCTGGAAGGAGCGAGAGTTCAGGGATGTCCACAGGGGGAAAAAGAGGGAAAAACGCAGCCCCTGGGATAGCTGTCACTGCCCTGCCTGGGAATCTCATCTCTGATCCCATTCCCATCCCATCTCTGTTCCCATTCCCATCCCATCTCCGTTCCCATTCCCATCCCATCTCCATTCCCATTCCCATCCCATCTCCATTTCCATTCCTATCCCATCTCCATCCCCAGCCCTGCCCAGGGATGTCACAGCAGGGACAGAGAGAAAATCCCGGGATACCAGCACAGCTCTGGCTCTATGGGGAACACTAGGATTTTCGGGGAACACCAGGATTTTAGGGGATCACCAGGATTTCAGGGACACCCCATCCCCTCCCGCATTCCTGGACCACCTCCCTGCTCCCTGCCTGACAGCAGCTCCTCCCCAGCACAGCCTTTCCCCAGGATTTGTGTCCTCCCCAGGGGGATGGGGGGAATTCCAGGTGCATCCCCCCTTTCCCAGCGGGAATGTGACTCACATCCACGGCTTGCTCCCTGCGCAGGACCCTCCTGTGCTCCCTGCCGTGGTGGTTCAGCTCGGCCTCGCAGTTTTGGGGGCCGGGCGAGGAGTTTTCCGCCCGCTCCTTCTCTCCGTGGCCGCTCCCCTCTGCATCCACCACATCCAGCTCCTTCTCCAGCTCCTCCACCTCCTCCGGGGACAGTGTGGACAGCAGGTTGTCGATGTCCGGGTCCTCGCTGACCTGGCGCCTGTACTTGGCGACCTTGGACATCTTGGCTCTCTGGCGAGACACGGTGGCGGTTTTTGGGGTGCCCGAGGCAGGAGAGAAAAAACAAAAATAAAAAGCTCCCGAAGCTGCTCCCCGGGAAGCGGCAGGTGCTCAAGTGTTAAATCCCAGCCGCTCTGCCCCGGTTTTTCCAGAGGGGCTCGGCCAATCCGGGGTGCCGGGATGCTGATGGAGCGGGCGGGAGGCGGGGAAGGGCCGAGCGGAGCAGCCCCAGAGCCCCGGACATTCCAGGGAAGCGGCCAGAGCCTCATGCCCAAATTTAGTGCGGAGCATTTCGCCTTTTAAAGGCAACGGGCCAAGCCGCGGGAAAACAGGGAAAAACGCGGCTCGGGGAGGGGGGAGCAGCCTGTGCCGGGGGGGGCTACCAAAGAGGGCAGCGTGGCTACCGAGGGGTGGGGAGAGGATCTGCAGGGTCACGGACGGCTCCTGGAGGGATTGGACACGGAGCAGCCGCTCCAGAGGGGGTTTTCCTCTCTGATGGCTGGGAAGGAGGGGGAGCTGGTGGTGCTGGGCCAGCCTGGTTTTCTTGGGAAGGATGGAGGCACTGGAAGAGAGTGCTCCTGCTGGATCTGCCCCTCACCAGCCTGGGCTGGGATCTATCAGAGCTCCTGCAATTCCCAGATCTCTGCTGGATCTGATCCAACACCAGCCTCGGGTTGATTTATAACAGCTCCTGCAATTCCCAGATCTCTGCAGAGTCTGATCCTGGAACCAGCACTAGGCTGATCTAACAGAGCTCCTACAATTCCCAAACCTCTGCTGGATCTGATCCAACATCATCCCTGGGCTGATCTGTCAGAGCTCCTGCAATCCCCAAACCTCTGCACGGTCTGATCCAACACAACGCCTGGATTGATCTATCAGAGCTCCTGCAATTCCCAGATATCTGCTGGGTCTGACCCTGGAAAAATCCCTGGGTTGATTTATAAAAGTTCCTGCAATTCCCAGATCTCTGCTGGATCTGATCCAACACCAGCTCTGGGCTGGGATCTATCAGAGCTCCTGCCATTCCCAAAACTCTGCAGGGTCTGATC